TTTCGTCAACGAAAACGCATGCAATTGGCTAATAATCTAAAACTTTACTACACAAAGATGGCAGGATGGCACGAGGTTTTAATAAATCTGATTTGAGAAATACAATTTGTCGTCACTCGCAAGTATTTTATGAGTCTGTTCTCTTTGTTAGGTTCTCGTAACTCTTTAATCAAAGTGTTAAATAATCCCAGTCGATCACGTCGTTTATTTATTGGGTCAATCTAGTATCTTGCTAAATACTTGCTTTCAACTTCAGAAGGAGTATCTTTTTGCCAGAAGACACCTTTCCTTTTTTGCTTGTTTTGTCACTGCAAAGGATACTACATAGACACATCCAACAATAATACCGTTCACGTTTAAGCCGATCTTTGTAAACATGCTTGCAATTTTACGTCGTGTCTGGCATGTATTTCGTGCACGAATCTTCGTTTGGTTTTCGTTTTCGTGAATATAGACGATAGTGTGGCCTGGGCTTAAATCTCTAAAATTTACAGAGCACCGCGCTCAAACGATTTATATATTACATATTTCTTTTTGTCACTTGCGTATAAAGTCTATCAAGCGACAGTTGGTTATTCTGTATTTTTCGAGTCGACGAGGAGCTTTGTTGTGAATGTGACCGAGTTTACCACGTGGGTTGGTGTTCGATGGTTTTTGTTAAAAAAATGCACATCCTTATAAGCATGTTATTTATAAACGTACATTCGATTCGTATGAATCGAATCGTGTTTTAATAGAAGGCACGTTTCGTCGCGATGTAATAAACGCCTATCATTCCCTTTCCATATACGTATCATCTCGAATGATTGTTTGGGGACGAGACAAACCTACTTAACTGCAAGTGATGAAACAGTTACTGATGTTGAAACTATCATGAATTCAGAGTTAGTAGCCATGCTTAACTCTCGATGTTGATTAAACTGAATTCATGGTTATCGACTCAAAACAAATGCTAAATAGAAGAAAAGTCTCTAAATTTAACATTAAAGTCGATAAAAAATATTACACAGGTTTCAGAAAGTAAAACATTAGCTTTAAATGTTGACCAAAATTTATCCTGGAAAAGACCTTCTGTTGAATAATAGTGGAATAACATAGAATTTCATACCAGGTATACTACGTATCATACAATTGAGAAACGTGAGCGTTTTTACAAAAAGATGATTTGGCCTAAGTTACTAACTTTTCCTACTTTACAATTTACGTATTAATTTAGCTGCAGTCGAGTTCCTTACCTGTCACATCTTCGTTAAGAATTTGACAGATTATTTTTATCAGATAACCACAAAGGAAAATAGGTGTGCTACAAGTTATTTCCATAGTTAATTGCAATCGAAAGCTGCGACGAAACTTTTACCACCACAGTCAACACCCCACACTAAAATTCTCGTGTTTATGTTTTGCGTGGGCGTAAGAGACACGCATGTCATATATTCACCCAAGGCTTAGATGTTATGGTTAGAATTTATTTTTATGTTTTACCAAACATGGAACTGTTACTGTATCATTTATCAGCGCATATTTTTTATTTGCATATTTTCTAGAAGCTGGTAATTTACCATTTAATAAAATTTGTTTGTATTTAGTTTGGATTGCTGACAAACTGCACGGATATAATTATTTAGCACTAGAGTTTAATTTATGCATGTTTTAACTGACCTGTAATTTGACGCGCAATATTCATTGGGATAAAAAGGATTTGAGTCTATAGTGCAGCTGACAGTTACCACATGCTAACCTGGGCGAAAGCTTCATCATTGTATTACTTTATTATATCGGCTAACCTGTATTGAAATTAATGTAGATCGTGAGGACCCGGCAAAGAAGTGAGTTCATGTATTTTCGTTTGGTATAATGTTAAACTGCACATTTGTTATTTATACTATATCATTATTTGCTAGATCGAATAAAAATTATTTACTTATAATCTATACGATTCCGACTCACGCATCTATCGGACTGCTAACCTGAGAATCCATAGTTATTAGGATAATGACTAAGCATTTGAAATGCGTTATGTTTTGCGTGGGCATGACACAAAGGAATGAGCTACATGTTTGTACATGTGGTTTGTCCAGGTTTGTAGAGTCTCGAGAAGGATTGCTTTTGCTGTTGTTGACTGACGTTTCGACAACCTTAGCGGTAGTCATCTTCAGAGTCAAATGAGGACGATCTACATTTACAAACCATTCCCGGGTTCAAACCGTTTACTTTATTACGATCATGCGTTATATGGTTTGCATGGGCGGTTACGTTTTGAGAATGAGACAGGCATGAGACAAACAATTTCTTTGTTTAGGACATGCCAAGTAAAATTACTTTAGCAACTTAAGGACAATATCAATATATAATTTTTTGTGATATTACTAATATCAATACAGTTCTTTAGATATGAGGATTTGAACCTTACAGAATGACAATATTTCTTGTTCATTGAAACAAAATTTGTTGAAAACTGTTCACACCAACTGTCTATTTTAAGATTATTATTCAATAGAAGACTTTTTATTCAATACTCCGTATTAAATAAAAAGTGGTTTCATTCGATAAAGCATTTTTTTGCTGTAAGATACGCAGAACGCGTGTATCGTATTTTACTCGTTTGTGCGCTGAATCTAAAGCCTAGGCCACACTATCCTCCATATCAACGAAAATCTTGAACGAAAATTTCGTTTTCGTGCAGATTAGAAGAGTTGAATTTTTTACCTTTTTCGTTAACGAAAACCCATGCAATTGGCTAATAATCTAAAACTTTACTACACAAAGATGGCAGGATGGCACGAGGCTTTAATAAATCTGATTTGAGAAATACAATTTGTCGTCACTCGCAAGTATTTTATGAGTCTGTTCTCTTTGTTAGGTTCTCGTAACTCTTTAATCAAATTGTTAAATAATCGCAGTCGATCACGTCGTTTATTAATTGGGTGAATCTAGTATCTTGCTAAATGCTTGCTTTCAACTTCAGAAGGAGTATCTTTTTGCCAGAAGACACCTTTCCTTTTTTGCTTGCTTTTTCACTGCAAAGGCTACTACATAGACACATCCAACAATAATACCTTTTACGTTTTAGCCGACTTTGTAAACATGCTTGCAATTTTACGTCGTGTCTGGCATGTATTTCTTGCACGAATTTTCGTTTTGTTTTCGTTTTCGTGAATATAGACGATAGTGTGGCCTGGGCTTAAATCTCTAAAATTTACAGAGCACCGCGCTCAAACGATTTATATATTACATATTTCTTTTTGTCACTTGCGTATAAAGTCTATCAAGCGACAGTTGGCTATTCTGTATTTCTCGAGTCGACGAGGAACTTTGTTGTGAATGTGACCGAGTTTACAACGTAGTTTGATTCGATGGTTGATGTTGCAAGATGCACATCCATATAAGCATGCTATTTATAAACGTATATTCTATTCGTATGAATCGAATCGTGTTTTAATAGAAGGTACGTTTCGTCTTGATATTATAAACGCCTATCATTCCCTTTCCATATACGTATCATTCTCGAATAGTTGTTTGGGGACGAGACAAACCTACTTAACTGCAAGTGGTGAAACAGTTACTGATGTCGAAACTATCATGAATTCAGAGTTAGTAACCATGCTTAACTCTCGATGTTGGTAAAACTGAATTCATGGTAATCGACTCAAAACAAATGCTAAATAGAAGAAAAGTCTCTAAAATTAACATTAAAGTCGATAAAAAATATTACACAGGTTTTAGAAAGTAAAACATTAGCTTTAAATGTTGACCAAAATTTATCCTGGAAAAGACCTTCTGTTGAATAATAGTGGAATAACATAGAATTCCACACCAGGTATACTACCAGGTATACTACGTACGTAATACGCGTATGATACGAGAACGCAGACATAAATAATGCAGACATAAATACGTCTGCCAATCACAATTGAGAAACGTGAGCGTTTTTACAAAAAGATGATTTGGCCTAACTACTAACTTTTCCTACTTTACAATTCACGTATTAATCGGAAAAAAATTTCTGTAATAATTTACACCAATTAAGACACAAGTTATTTTCCAACACATTAGCAAGAGTTTTGTGTTGCAGCCACAAATATATTAATTATTACTTTAGAGCCCAACAAATAATTTTAAACATATTCATAAACAATTTGGTTTTATGAAATTTATCGACAACACTCCAGAATAAAGACGAAACGTCACTCTTTTAATAAATTTCATAAAACCAAATTGTTTATGCTAAATTGGACTTAAAATTTCTTACAACATGTAAAAAGCGTTCAGCAATACCACGTTTCTTGTGGTTCAAGGCTGCAAATCGCCGTCTGCGAAGTTCTACCGCCTATCGACAATTTCAAAGCAAACTACTCCTCGAAGAATTAAACGACAAACACTCCAGAATAAAGACGAAACGTCACTCTTTTAATAAATTTCATAAAACCAAATTTTTTATGACTATGTTTAAAATTATTTGTTGGACTATAATATTTATATTGAGAATCCGTTGCCCGCCTTACACCTCATTAGGGAACAATATTTATTACTTTAATTTAAAGCTTTTGCAATGAGAATTCACGAAACTGAAGAAGCATTTTGATTATGGAGCCCATTCAACACCATCATCACCACTTTTTGCTGGTGATTAAGGTTTTGAATTACCTGTCGCCCAACAATTGACTAAAAAATAAATAGCTTGTTGTCGTATCATATCCGATGATTTCCTTACCTGTAACATCTTCGGTAAGATTTTGCCAGACTGTTTTTAGCAGACAACCACAAAATTATTTGTGCTACAAATAATTTCCATAGCTTAAGCGATCAAAGCTGCGACGAAACTTACCAATAAAGTCAAGTCTAATTAAGCTAGAAATACATTCGTCCGGGCGACAACGTTTTTGTTAAGTGGGTCCCGCCTTGTTCTTGTCCTTGTTCTCCTTGTTGATTTGCCGCTTCGCGTGTATCTCGCGTGGACTGTTTTGTTTGCGTGAGTCGAGAGAATGTGATGTGCGCGATTCTGCTTAACAACAGTTGAACATGGAAGGTAATCACTTTCTTTAAAAATTTAGAATGTTTGACAATTCTAAATGTTAGAATGTTAAATAGTTGTGGAATGTTTGACAATCAGCACTCTTAGAAGCAGTCACAGCATTTCTCATCAGCATTTCATATGAAGACAATTTGGATTGTTGTTCGAGCCCCCTTTAGCTCGGATACATGAGAACAGCATTTCCAGATGATCTTGAGAGAACTTGTATGTGAGTAGATATTTGAATGGTGGAACTGCATTGGTGAACATCTCATTTGCGATTTCAATTGTTGTCTTGATGCAACTAACAAATCCTAGTATAAATGTTTTTCTGCCATGGGTTATCAGGTGTTGTTGTGTTGAGCCAATGTTTATCTTCAGGTCTAGCAAGTATTTAGCAGTAGATAATAAAATTTCTTCCAATGTTTGTTTGGATTGCAAGCGAAGTGGCTGTTTAAATCCTTTCCCTAAGATATTTCTTGAATTAAGCATGTCAAATAAACGGTCTATTACTCTGATGAATGTGACAGTTCCATTGGAGTTTTCAAATGAACTATGTTTCATTGAGACGTCTAAAAATTCAATTGCATTAGCAACTGAGGAACTGAGGGTTTGTGTAGCTAGTCTCACATTCATTTTGTGCCTGAGAAATTGAATATGCTTTGGGGTTAGCTTGTTGCCAAGGGTAAACCCCTCACTTTCCTGGAGGGTGGTTAAGGACTCAAAAAACTCCCATTTAATTGAGTTCTTTTTGCCATCAACAAATGATTTCAAATGATGTAGGGCATTTCTTGCTAATTTCAACATATGACATGGATCAAGGATAGCGTAGATGTAGTACTTTTGTGTAGGATGTTTAAATTTTGTAATTATTGTGTTGTAGGATGTTGTGAAAGTGCAACCAAGTTGTCTGAACATTGTAAGGTTTACTGCTGTGCCATCTGTTGTGATTGACCACACACGAAGTCCTGCATCCCACAAGGTTCGTTTTCTAATTTCCATTGTGTCTATTACAAGGAAGCAATCTCTCTTGTCTGTAGATTTTTTGACTTCTTTTGATAATGAAATGAATGCTATCTTAATGAATCCAGGCTCACATTTTATAGTGCTGGACCATTTTTTTTATCATTGATGGATTTGGAAGAGGCAATATTGATCTAACATACTCATATGCCTTTGTTGAATAATAATTAATAGTTGTTGAAAATTCTTTCACATTGTCTGAATATCTTCGTGCACAAGGTGCACAATTAACATTGTTCTTGGTGTCTCTAAATATTGAGAGTTGTATCTGGTCAAACTTTGCATGCATATGTTCAGCAGTATCACTTGATATAATCAGTTTTTCTTTTAGCTCCTAAATAATGTCTGTCATTGTTTGTTGTTTTGCTTTAGTCCACCTTAGTTGTTGTTGCAATCCTCTAATTTTTCTTTTCAATTTTCCTTCCAGGTATGTTCTTGACTCATTTGCTTCTCCAAAAACCTTTTCTGATGGAGACAGTGCTGTTATGGCTTTTAAATCAGATGGTGATTTGATTTTCTTCTTGCATTCCTGGATATACCATAGTGTGATCCAGTGGGTTGTGGATTTATAGTTGGCACAGCAGCATGTTTTAGACTGCAGTTGGTTTCTGAAGGTGCTTTTATGTAGTTGTGTCTGGAGAAATAATTGCTACAGACTCTGCTGGAACGGAATGCTTTAAAAATTTGGATTATTGTTGGTATCTTTTACCACCTTCTCCCACATTTCAAGAATTGGTGCATTATTTAGTGGCAATCTAAATGTTTGGTTTTATTCAGGTTCCTCCTTAAGTTTTTGCTATTCAAGTTAATTATTTATACCTGATTTAAAACAGATATATATGTAGTGAATTGTATAATGTATTGTACATATTTCTAAAGTGTACAATAATATTTTTTTCTAAAGGTTAGTTGACTATATTATGCTAGCCTTACCTGTGAAATGAAACTTGATTTTTCGTCATGTTTGAGTGACATTTTGACCCACTTTTAATTATTTTTTGTTTACTCGTGCAACCATCAATCACACAATTATACAAAAAGCTTTTCTACAAAAAGTTCAAAGAATTTATCCTTATCAACTGATATATCGACGAGATCTTGTTTTTAATTAACGATCTTTCGAATGGCTAAATCTAACAACGAAGCGAAAAGCGTTATGAGTAATGAACAAACAAAGCAAACCACCCCAGCTCTCACCAGGGAAGAAGAACCTTCAACTCTCGAAACGTCTGAACAACTACGAAGAAAATGATCTGCTGCAAAAGGCGCAGTTACAAAAAAGATGAAGGAGTTCACCAAATCAAAATTGAGCTTTAGAAGCTTGAGCGAAGCAAACAATTAAAGCACAAGAATTCAACGAAGTTTTAAACAGATTTTACAACGCCCACGAGCATCATCATGCAACAATAGAAGATGATTATGATCACCAAGACTCAAACAAATACCTTCAAATTGAACAACAAAGAATTGAAAATTTTCAAAGGACCTTTAACGAATGGCTCAGAGAGTTTACAAAACAACCATCAATGTCAGAAGTCAAGATAAAGCCCAATGACTTGATTAGTAACGTCGGAGAGTAGAGCCGTGTTCTAAAGTAAGTCTTTTGAAATCCGTTCCAATCCAAGGAAACAGCAAAACGTTTTCGTTATTTTATGAAATTCTTGTGAAACTGAAACACTTTTTTCATAATTGAATCGATATTAGCGGTTTTACGTCCCAGATTCTTTAAAAATCGACGATTAAAACTTGTCGATTTTAATTGTTTTGGAAATATTCATAAGTCTTTACGCAGAGACTGCTATTATTACATGTTATATTTTTCATTTGATCTTCCTAGTATTTGATGATTTCGTTATTTTCTTTAAATTTCCAGACTCGAGGTGTGCAGCTACAGTGGATACAAAATCTACCCAAGTCATGGGAAAAGATATATACGTCTAGATGGAAAGGTACTTACTTTTACAATGTTCGACTTAGAAAAACAACTTAATTTATCCCTTTGTTGATATATAGTTATTTTTAAAACACACTTTGAAAACTTAATTGTAAAATCACATCTATATTATTTTGCCATAACCAATAAATGTTTTATACATCAATTTAATAGTCTTTCAATATCCTGGACGAATTTGGATAGAAGGTTGAGGGAAGTTGTTCGGATGGGGGAAGAGCAGTATGGATTCATACCGGGAGAGGAACGACGGATGCGTGTTTTGTGTTGAGGCAGCTGCAGGAGAAATTTTGGAGAAGGACAGAGAATTGTATATGGTGTTTGTAGATTTGGAGAAGGCGTTTGATAGAGTTCCAAGAAAGGTGATCGAGTACGCGCTGCGTAAGAAAGGTGTGACAGAGAATATGGTTCGGGCAGTTATGGCGACTTATGAAGGTGTAGAGGCGGTGGTTACGGAGGAAGGTGTTAGATCTGGTGTTTTTGAGGTAAAAGTTGGTGTTCATCAAGGTTCAGTCTTGTCGCCGTTACTGTTTGCTTGTGTGATGGATGTACTGACAGAGGAAGTGAGAAGAAAAGAAGGATGCTGGTGTTTGTTGTATGCAGATGACATTGTCTTGGTGGCGGAGTCGAAGCAGAAAGTCATGGAATGGTACCGAGAATGGAAAACGGCAATAGAAGTCAAGGGACTGAAAGTGAATGAGGCAAAGACGAAGGGCATGAGATGCTCGAGGCAGGTGGAGGTGAAGGACAGTGATAAATGGCCAAGAGTTGAGTGAATTGATAATGTGTGGGAAATGCAGTAAGTGGGTTCATGGAAGATGTTCAGGTGTCCGTGGTGCATTGACAAGAGTAACTGATTTTGAGTGCGGGACGTGTCGAAGTGGTGGGCGAGTCGCGATTGAACGGTTTGAACTGGGTGACGTGAGTTTGGAAGGTGTATCAGAGTTTAAATATCTGGGCGATGTGTTAAATGATGGTGGAGGGTGCGAGCAAGCGGTGAGGAACAGAGTTCAAGCAGCGTGGTGGAGTTTTAGAGAGTTTTCGGGAATGTTGTGCGGAAAGTCCACTTCGTTGAAGCAGAAGGGAGAATTGTATAAGGCATGTGTTAGAAGTGTTTTGGGATATGGAGCAGAGTGTTGGGCGCCGAAAGCAGAGGACCTGAGAAGATTGGCGTCGACGAAAGGAGGATGCTTAGGATGATGTGTGGTGTAACGTTGATGGATAGGATTCGAAGTGAAGAGATTAGAGAAAGAGTTGGTGTTGAGTGTATCGAGAATTGGGTAAGGCGCCAGCGTTTGAGGTGGTTTGGGCATGTGGAAAGGAGGGAAGAAAGTGCTGAAATTCGTAGAACGTTGCATATGAATGTTGATGGAGTCCGCAAACGAGGTAGACCGAGAAAGAGATGGATGGATACTGTGAACAGTGATATGAAGGCGATGGGTATAACGAGAGATATGGCGAGAGATAAAGACGTGGCGTGGAAAATTCATGGACCGGTAAACCCCCCTGGCGGGGATTAATACTGGCCGGTATATAAATGTTGTTTGTTTGTTTGTTTGTTTGTTTTCAATATCCTGGACAAAAAATGTGAGAGATCCTTCTTGATGAGAGGAAATCCACGAAAGATTTCATGGACTGTCCTTTACCGTAGAAAACACAAAAAGGGCTCAGTTGAAGAGTCTCGAAAAGAGAACAAGACGAAATGTTAAATTCCAACGAGCCATCCAGGGTGCAACTCTTGAAACTATTTTGGCCAAACGCAATCAGAAGCCTGAAGTAAGAAAAGCACAAAGAGAGCAGGCAATAAGGTATTAAACACAACTGTCTGGTGTCTTTAATATCTAAAAAATTACATCTTTTATGCTTGACTAAAAGATTTTGATTTTGTTTCTCAGTGAAGATTCTTTTTTACCTACATTGTATGAGTAACAACTGTGAGAAAATGAATTATAATCAGAGAGAAACATTGAAAATCCTCAAACTTAAACTGAATCAGATTTTGAGAAAATTGATCATTTTGTTGACGATTTATAAACATTTAGAGCTGCTAAAGATAAAATCAGGCAAAAGAAGGAGGCTAAAAAGATGACAAAGGTATTTAAAGGTTGTAACAATTACTCAACTATTATAATGTAAAGTAGGTTGGCTTTTTCAGTGCAATTTGCTGTTGATAAACTGCTTTGAACAAAATTTTTATGTTCAAACATTGAAATTAATATTTATTAGAAACTTTGACTGTTTGTTTGTGTGTGGGCAAATTGTATGACAAACTTTTCATGACTAACTTTGGGCAAAATTATGGCACATATTGTGAATTTAATTCCCACCCAAGCGAGTGATAAATTTCTTCATGAAGTTCAGTATTTATCATAAGTTTTCAATGATTCGATGAATCGTTGTCAATTTATACTGTGTATCATAAAATAGAAACAGTAAAACGTATGCAGTTAGTCTATAGCTGTGTTTGCAAACCATTCAAAGCTCAACCAATCAAATCAATCAATCAATCAAAGAGAATTTGCAAATCAATCATGAACACATTTAGAGGAAGAATTGAAACTTTTGTTTAAATTTGCCTGTTTGCATTATTGTTATTTTATAAAAGAAATAAAAGATGTTTTTTCATATTTGCACTGGCTTATGCAAACCTCAGAGACATTTGTGAGAACTCCCAAGCATCTGCAACCCTTGATGTTTGGTCTTGTGCTTGCAATGATCTGATCTTAATTTCTTGCAAGATCTCTTTGGTTTGCATTCACTTGTGGAAAACAGTAAACATCTTTTATTTACTTCTTACATGAAGTAAACCATTCTTACTAAGATATCTCAATAACACTCATCATTTATTCAAGGCTGCACAACAACCAGTGAAGGCAAAAGCTCCAACAAAACAAAAAGGTGGAAGAAGTACAGGTCGTGTTGGTGGAAAACGTTGAATGTAAATTATCACACATTTCACTATAATAAATGGTCATGGTTTAATGGTATTTGCATTTTTTTAGTTTTATGTTTTAATTCATGCTTCATTGTTCAATGTTGTGTAATCTGGTTGTGAATTAAGGATGAAAATTTGAATCACAATTTCAGATGTGAAACATAACCTCCTCTACCCTCGTAATCCCCACCTAAACCTTCCCATACCCTATCTGCCAAACAAATGAAACTGGTCAAATCTTCACTTGTTTCATACAAGGCTGGTACCACTAAAATGAAACTTTTAACTTGTAGACTGATCAAATCTTCACTTGTTTCATACAAGGCTGGTACCACTAAAATGAAACTTTAACTTGTAGACTGATCAAATCTTCACTTGTTTCATACAAGGCTGGTACCACTAAAACTAAACATTTAACTTGTAGACTGATCAAATCTTCACTTGTTTCATACAAGGCTGCCACCATTAAAACTAAACATTTAACTTGTAGAATGTATATTATGGTTGACAAATGTTGCGTGAAAGCATGAAAATATATTGAAACTTACCCTTTGTATCTACAGGGTGCATGCAAAATGCAACCCATTGAAATTAGCAGACATTTAACATATGCATCATTCAGCCGTAATCAACCTCCAATAAGACATAAACGTAATTGTAACGATAACACGAAATGATTTAATGATTGGCATTTTCAATGTGCTGTAGTTACAATTCATACGATCTCTTTACGCGTTTTTCCGTTTAGTCAACAAGCAAACGACTGTAATTTAGCACAGTAAATACTTAGTAGCGAGAGACTTGCCGAGCGGAAATCGAATTCGTGTAATAAAAATTAATGCCCAACATAAAGTTTTAATTAGAGCCATAGAAATAGACCAAAAACTACAATTTTTAAAAAAAATTTCTGCACCCCAGAAAGTAAAATCTTTGTAATTCAATAGTTCGTGGTAAATTTGTAATATCATCATAAACGTGAGCACGTTATTTTTTGCAACTCTCCATAATCTGAAGGGTTCATTCCTAGTGTAAAGTATAGTGAAGTAAGTTAACTGACTGTAAAATTCTAATTTCGTCGTGGATATACAACTTGAGAGAGAGCCTACAGACAGTAGAGAAAGGCAAAATCTGAGTCTTGACTGATTTTACGCAATTCATCTTATTCACCTTGAAAGCAAAGAATTGAACCTTGTATAATATAGTAGCATAATTAATGTATGTTTAAATAGTTAGCATAATTAATGTTTGTATAAATAGTTAGTATAATTAAGGTATGTATAATGACTAGTTAATAGATGGAAGCTCGTGTATATAAGAGAGCATTTCTCAAGTAAAAACGCTTTTTTAGTCATCCTGGACTGAATAATATATTACACCTTGGAAGCTCACTAAACATATTTTATAAAGTTCTTGAATGTCTTGTATATTTTATATCGTTAGAACAGCGTCCATGCAAGACTTCCAACAAGGCTATTTTAGCCACAAGTATCACAGGCTTACATTTTAGCTACAAGTATTTTCGTTATACACCCATTTTCATCGGTGTAATTCAACTTTAAACAATTCAAGTATTCCCGCAGTAATCGATCTGAGAAATTCCTTTCCTCAAACAACGGAGTTTCCTAGGCTGACCATCGTATTTCATTAATGATACCTTCATTATTTTCTGTCAACACAAGTTCTGTAAAGTGTCCATGGTGATAGCGAATCAAAAGAGGAGTTTTGATACAACCCACGGAGTCAGATAACAGTGGTAAGTATATGCCACCAAGGTTTACACCAGCAATTGGTTCATCATAGTCACCACGATTAAAATTGGCACATATTACCAGAATTGGTCTTCGAAGAATATTAGCTAAGGCAAATATATGAATCTCCTCAAGACAGTAAAAACTTGGAAGAGCGACTGTTTTCTTCCAGTCTTCGCTCCATTGCTCTACACCAAAATCCATTGGGATACCAGCATTTTGATCCTTCAACTGCCTTTCGACTTCCAACTGCCAGCGTTGTCGATAAGTGCCTAAAATGAAGTTTAAATGAATAAGGACTTGTATGGAGTCGAGTTATCCGGCTAGCCAAGAAACTCCATCAATCGGGTACGGTACCGCTCGTGTATTTGTTAACATAATTTTGCGTATGATGAGCGTATCTTTCTTGTATCATACGCGTATCTTTCTTGTATCATACGTTTATTGTTCTTGTATCATACGTTTATCGTTCTATTTTATACGCGTATCGTTTTTTTGAATCTCTGACAACGGCTGATATAGTCTGTCTGCTTACAGGACAATTGCTCGGTGCTAATTCGCGGCTATTTTCAGTGTATTTCTTTCCTTTCTTACTTAATATTAGTAGCTTTTCTTTCTTTGGAATAAGGTGATAAACGCGTCCCCGCAGACATGAGAAAATAGTTTTAACACATGCGTATCTACGTCTGCGATCTCTGATAGTGTCCGTATTGAATAAAAAGTGGTTTCATTCGACAAATTGTTACGAGAAGAAAGAAAAACGTTTTTTCATATAATTCTTTCCAGAGGAAAGCAATTTCTCAATGGATATTGGCATTGAGCAATGGAGCGAAGACTGGAAGAAAACAGTTGCTCTGGCATCAACAGCAAAATCAATCAAAAACCACAGAACGTTATTTAATAATGATCTTTATGAGTACAAGAAAAAGATCTTTGTGTTAAGATCTTTTATAATTTCGACCGTTGGTTCGCACCAGATAATTTTGAGTATTTAAAAGGGGTAAGGAATGCAAACAAAAAACGGAGTATCATCTGGCAAAGATACTCCTTCTGAAGTTGAAAGCAAGCATTTAGCAAGATACTAGATTCACCCAATTAATAAACCACGTGATCGACTGGGATTGCATAATAATCCTGATAATAATACATATTTCCCATTTCTAACTAGAAATAGCAGGAAATATGTCGAAGTGTTGACGTAGAAATTGCCTATCTTCCTCACAAATTGTAGACAATGCGTATGGTATGAAAGCGTATTTTATTATTGTGATGGCTTTTTTAAAAGTCTTATGTTGGGCTATTATGTTCATATTGAAAATTCGCTTTTGTATTGACATTGTCAATAGGCGCTAGAGGATTGCAATCTGCGATTAGCAACCTTAAACCATAGGAATCTTGGTATTATCGAGCGCTTCTTACACGTAATAAGGAACTCCAGGTCGAGTTTGGCTTTTCCAAGCTTGAGTTCAAGACGCTGGAATTTCCTGAACGCTTCGAGTGCTTCGTTTTTGTAGCGTTTATTTAAAATCGTGGCCAGAGATTTGCCAGGAGGAAAGCGAATTTTCAATATGAACATAATAGCCCAACATAAGACTTTTACAACAAAATTGTTACAAATTGTTACAAGAAGAAATAAAAACGTTATTAATAAGTCCTTCTCTATTTTATTATTGTAATGGCTTTTAAAAGTCTTATGTTGGGCTATTATGTTCATATTGGCTACATGTGTCTTATCTTGGTGCTTGCGAAATATATTAACGTACATTGAGGCTGAGGACTACAATCTGTCTAATTTTACCTTACTATACTTTACACTTGGAATGAACCCTTTAGACTGTGGAGAGTTGCAGAATATAACGTGCTCAAGTTTATGATGCTATTACAAATTTACCACGAACTATTGACGAAGTACCAAGATTAAAAAGAGTTTACTTTCTGTGGTGCAAATTAACATGTCGCGATTTGCAAAGCGCGATACATCGCGAGGTAAATAGCAAAAGCTTTTTTGTTTACAATTTTCACATAAAGAATTACGTCAGCCAATCACGATCGAGATTGCACCAACTTTGCATAAAAATTGCTGATAATTATACATATTTTCCATTTCTCACTTTGAAAAGCCGAAAATATGTCGAAGTGTAGACGTAGAAATTGCCCATCTTCCTCTCAATAAATTTCGGTTGACGATTTACGAAAAGATGGCAACGAGGAACTACGTCAAGAATATGTGAGGTCGAGGACATTAAATGACATTCATTCCATTAATTTGAAAGTCGGCAATGATCTAAATGTTGGTGTAATTTTGTTTGTCCTTGTTTTAAAATATGGGTTGTCACTTGTATGCTCTATTGTCACTTGGATGCTTCTTTGCTTGTACTCCCCGTGAATGTCCGTCGAGAAGTGTTGGCTATGATTCATGCTTCATTGTTCAATGTTGTGTAATCTGGTTGTGAATTAAGGATGAAAATTTGAATCACAGTTTCAGATGTGAAACATAACCTCCCTCTACCCTCGTAATCCCCACCTAAACCTTCCCCTACCCCCTATCTGCCGAACAAATCAAACTGATCAAATCTTCACTTGTTTCATACAAGGCTGGTACCACTAAAACTAAATATTTAACTTGTAGAATGTATATTTTCGTTAACAAATGTTGCGTGAAAGCATGAAAATATATTGAAACTCACCCTTTGTATCTACAGGGTGCATGCAAAATGCAACCCATTGAAATTAGCAGACATTTAACATATGCATCATTCAGCCGTAATCAACCTCCAATAAGACATAAACGTAATTGTAACGATAACACGAAATGATTTAATGATTGGCATTTTCAATGTGCTGTAGTTACAATTCATACGATCTCTTTACGCGTTTTTCCGTTTAGTCAACATGCAAACGACTGCAATTTAGCACAGTAAATACTTAGTAGCGAAAGACTTGCCGAGCGGAAATCGAATTCGTGTAATAAAAATTAATGCCCAACATAAAGTTTTAGTTAGAGCCATAGAAATAGACCAAAAACTACAATTTTTAAATAATTTTACTGCACCCCAGAAAGTAAAATCTTTGTAATTCGATAGTTCGTGGTAAATTTGTAATATCATCATAAACGTGAGCACGTTATTTTTTACAACTCTCCATAAAAGCAAAGAATAGAACGTTGTATAATATAGTTAGCATAATTAATGTATGTATAAATAGTTAATATAAATAAGGTATGTATAATGGCTAGTTAATTTTTGAATGTCTT